TAGAGAGAGAGAGAGAGAGAGAGAGAGAGAGAGTTTTCAGGTTCCCTGTCTGCATCACCAGAATTACTCATTTTGGTGATGTTGATGTCATGACCTCAGAACAATGTATATGACGTCATCACAATGAGTTGAATACATGTCAGCTGAGTGAGTCACCAAAGGAAGTGACCAGTCGAGCGTGGGTGACGCACACTGGTCAAGCGCTCAAACCTTTTACTGGGAAAGGTCTGCACATTTCTGCACACAATGATTCCTTCAAAGTATCGTGGTTCTGTTTGTCGTCAGTGAGGATTTCCTGTTATATTGAAATAATTGTAAACAACATGCCATTCAACAATGTACGGTAATTGTGGGAAATAATAACATCCAGTATAACTGAATGAATCTGACTTTATTCCAAAGCTGCACTAATAGAGTGATTTATCATTGTGCTTCTCTTTTCTAGATATCACAAGTCAAGTTTCCATTCGAATGTAACAAATATTTTGACCAAATTCCCAGAAAATCTTCAAAGGAAAATGAGAATGAATGCATGTATCCAACCACTACTGTTGTGTGAATATTAGGAGACGCCAATTGGAAGCCAAGAATAGGCGAAGAGATGACCAACTCTAAAGAGGACCAGTCAACTCAGAAATGATGGGAAACCGTGTGGAAAGCATGACAGCAATGTGTCATTTAGTTGTTTGTTTTATGTATTCATTTATCAATCAAGTCACATGCTTGATTTGTTTGATAAACATCTTTCCAGTGCACTTTGTTACATTTTGTTTTTATTGATATGTCAACTAGATAGATTTCTTTTTTAATTTTGCGATATTTCTGTTTTTTTTCCTGTTGTTTCTGCTCAGGTTTTTTATGCACAAAGAAAAAATAAGAAAAGAGGTAGAAGGAAACACACAAAAGCATACTGACATAATCTGGGTTCAGGGTGCAGGTAAAACATTTCTGCAAGAGTGAAATCTGTGCAAAAACATCCCCTTTCATTCATTAAGTTTGAGAAATATTCCAAAACTTGAGAGGTTATTATCTTTCATTGCTGTTTTTTTTTCTTCTGCCTTTTTTTTTTTGCTGCAATGAAGAACTGCAAGAAGTGTTTCTGCTTCTTGCTCTCTGAGTCACTGGCCGATCGCCCACACAGGTGATTAGCAGCAGATTGGAGTATAAAAAAACAAACATTTTGAGTTTTTTGAAGCTACTGAATATTTACATTTATAACAACATTTATAACATTAACAAGAAATGTTGCAACAGTCTTAATATTTGTGGTCGTACTGAGAAGCTCCAGGTCTGGGAGTGTGTAATTGGGGCAAAAAACAGCTGGAGTCCCCCAGAAAAGTCCCTGATTTTCCAACACTAAAATGTCCCAAATTGTTCAATGTGGGACATTGAACAATGTCCCACATTGAACAATGTTCCACATTGAACAATGTCCCACATTGAACAATGTCCCACATTAAGTCTATGTTTTTAGGCTTCACTGTGCATTGTGTTTCACTATATACAGTAACTGTCTGTGCACATATGGAAGGATGCTGATGAGATCACGGTGACACAAACTGGCAGCTGAACACCCGTGTTTGTGTGTGTGTGTGTGTGTGTGTTTGTGTGTGTGTGGCAGCAAACTCCCCTCAATGTTCACTGAACAATTATAGAATCGTCTGTCCACTGGTAATCCTCTCATACACTCCACTGCCTGTCTGTCTGTCTGTCTGTGTCTTCATAGTGCTTGTAACAAACTCAAATAACTTCAATAAAAGGGCTGATCGATACCCGCAACAAGCAGGCCAGTTTGTGTGTGGTGCCAACCAAAACACCCGGTATATCAAATCACACACACACACACACACACACACACACACACACACACACACACAC